TGTCTGCTGATTATCTTTTGTCATCTGAATTAAGATTTTCCTGGTATGATAACGAGTGTTATATTATGAGACTCTCTTTCTACTTTAGTAGGCAGTCTAACTGTTTAGATTCCTAGTTCACTTTCCTGGACTGTGGCTCAAATGTCAATTTAATGGTTAAAAGCCTTTTTCACTGATATTTTGCTCCGCCCCACTTGCAGGGTATTCTGAAACTCGGCTAATATATTAGACCAGAGTTCAGTTCTCAAACCTCTTTCTGTTTCCGATCAGTTTCACACACGGCACATTCAGAGGTCTGCCTCGGACTCCAAAGAGAGGTTTAAAACTCCGTTTCTTGGATGGCATCCTCTTCCTAACTCCCCCTCAAAGCTAGTTGGAAGAGGAATGGGAATTGCCTCATTACTGCAGTGTGGCTATAGTGGGTTTTGTCCAAAGTCTCTGCAGTTCTAATGCCAGCTGGAAGAGGTAGAGGTGCCCTCATTATTTCAGGGCAGATATGGTGAAAAGCCTGTGGGTTCAATCTCCACAGCTGTTCGCCCCCAGAAAGGGTAAGGAAGCAACTTTCCATGATGTTCATCTGGAATAAGGTAGGTCAAGGGGGAACCCAAAAAACCTAGAATTATCTTTTGGAAAGCAGGTGCCTTGAAGTATGGGCTTCCCCAGCTAGGTGAGTGTTCTAGGAACCCATTTGTGTCAATGTATCAGCTGGCATTGTTGTAAGAGGCTGTGTCTAGCTTTAGTGAACTGTTTTCAAAAACTCTTTCAACGTGTTTGCCCACGTCATGACGGGTCATGATGGGTGTTTTACGAGTGCACCTGCCCACACTATGCTGGGTGTTCAGCAGTATTTGACCAAAAATGGCAGATGGCTGTGCCCCACCCTCCCTATTCTCCCAATCTCACTCCAAGTGACTTTTTCTGTTTCCTTGGATGAAAAAAGTCCTCACAGAGAAACATTTTGCCCTGTGGAAGAGGTGAAACAAAAAACAGCAGAAGCATTAAAAGGCATCAAAATCAACAAATTCAAAAACTGTTTTGAGCAGTGGAAAAAACATCTCAATAAGTGTTTGGCTTCAAATGGAAGAGTACTTTGAAGACGACTGAAGTTTAAACACATGAGAATAAATACACAATTTTTTATAAATAAATTCTGGGGAATTTTGGCTCCGTAAACTGGTATTTTTAGTTTGAAAGATTCTCTAGCATCCCCAACTGAGATATACAGGAGGCAAAACAAACAAGCAACAAACAAAACAAAGGAAATTAACTCCGTATAGGATTTCTTTTTGTTGTCATTAGCCAGAAGAACAATGTATAAAGTGTTTTCTACATCTTATCCAGAAACAGAAGGCTGTAGTTTAAGCCTAACATATTTTCAAACATTTAATGCACATTTAAATCACATCTATAATGCTACTTACTTGTTGGCAAACTAATGATTTTGTGTTTTCAGTGAAATTTTGGCTTATATAGGTTCCTTTTAAAAAACAATAAACCAACTTTTATTTAACAATTTAAATCTTGGGGACAATATGGTACTGTATCTTCTTATATAAGGTAAAAGGAAAACATAACATTTGTTTGAAGAAAAGAACTCTAGCAATGAACACTTAAAGAGATTATTTAAAGCCTCTATGGGACGCAGGCTTTGAACACAGGAAGGATTCCTTATATTCAAAAGCTTTCTCTCAGGATTCAGCTTTATTTCCTTTCTCATCTATTATATAAGTACAACAGGCAGGACACTGAGTCATTTGGTTGCACAACCAAACACAGTAACTGTCCTATCCCTACCCTTTTAAACATAACCAACCCTCATAAGGCATACTATATAACCCCTCTCTTTATTTCTAATGATACTTGCAGCTTCAATCTATGGTCTCCTTTACAAACCCTGGCACTACTAAACCCAGAAAGTCCAGTCACTCTACTCACTCCGGTGGAAGAGGATTCATACCAAAATTCAAAATTAAAACAAAAAGCAAACAAACAAACCTCCAAATAAGCAAATAAACAAAAACCCACCAACCTCAGGTAGATCTGAGCAAGAGAAAAATCCAAAGCTATAGGGCTATTTTATTGGCAGAACATCAACTAGAACACTTCCAACAATCCTAGATAGCCTCTGATATGCATTGACTTGACAGGAGAAATGATGGTGCTGAAAAAAGTTGTAATGGGGAAAATGTAATCATTTTTTAAAAATCACATAAAAAGCTCTGCTCTTCTAATTAATCCATTTCATTAAACCAGCAAAAATACCACTCTTTTAAAATAGCTCTCATGCTTAAAAATATAATGGGAATAAATATTCCTGTTAAAAGTGTTCCTTAAAAATATGTATGTTTAATTTTGTTGGAATGGGAGAAAGGACTCTTATTCACCTCTATTCAGAGAAGATGAAGAGTGACTGTTATCTTTAACCTCTAACAAATAAGGTGTTAAAAATATAGTCCTTGACTTCACATAAACTTTGACTACATTAAAAAAATGACCATGAATATATTAAATAATTAAAGAAAATTATTTTCTAAAACTTTTTTTCTAATAAGACTTTCACTGTCTCCTTGAATACTGAAAATCACTTTTCCCCTGGGGGAAAAAACAAAGCGTGAAAGTAAGAATTTGTTAAATAGTAATAACTGAAACTAAAGTTAAGGTTCACGTGAAATGCTGTTTAGCCAGTGCCTAAAAAATTAAAAAGTCAAGGTTGTTTTAAATCATTAGCAGGACTTACAAGTGAGATTGTCTCACACAGAACCAGAGAAATCAGCAGAGGGTCAAATTTGCACTATAGGTAAGAGTGCTCGGTCACTTAAAAAACAAGAGAAAAAAAACTAAACTAGTTTCTTGTTACAGTGTGAGGAGCTGAACTATGAGCAAATCATAGTTTAAATACAAATTTTGCTGGGTGAAAATTTAATAAATATGTGGAAATGGAAGAAACTCAGAAACCACAGTTTTTCCATTTTAAATGAGATGATAGTTCTGCACCACCAGCTGTTTATAGTTCATTGAATGAAGTTCTAGTTGATAGGAGATAATTACCTCTTCTCTATAGGAGGCAAGTGTTTCCCATTCTACAGACACCTCTGATGAATGGACATAGGAGTATGAGACCAAGACAGCATGCCAAGATCATTTCGGTTTTCAGTGATCTCTTTAAACACTTGGTTTTCTATTTTTTCCTATTTAAGCATAAGAAAATGTGCACCTTAACATATACAGAATCAAGTCACTGCTATAATTCTCCTTTTAACCATGAAAGGAAAGTAGAGTGATTGGACATTGGAAGCATACATACCATCAATAGTATTGAAAAGAACAGGCATGTGCCCTGGCCAAGTGTCTCAGTTCGTTGGAGTGTTGTCCTGTACACCAAAAAGTCATGGGTTCAATTCCCAGTCAGGGAACATACCTAGGTTGTGGGTTCAATGCCCAGCAGCGAGGCAACCAATTAATGTTCCTTTCTTTCTTTCTCTCTTTCTCCTCCCTCCTCCTGCCTCATTCCTCTCCCCCTCAAATCAGTAAACATATCCTCAGATAAGGATAAAAAAAAGGATAAGCATGATAATTTCAGCTGAGTACTGAAGAATTCTACTTATTGACATTGCTTTCCCCTGAAGACTATTCTATCTGTAAGCTCCTTGTCAATTAATGATGCTTCCATTATCCCAGTTCCTTCAGCCATTTCACCTACTCGGAAGGGCCTATCAATTCTGCCTTTCCAGTCTCTCCAATTTGTCTCTGCGCTTCCAATGCAAATTGCCACATACCTCAATATTTACCACTTGCTGAATGATCCTCATATCCTAAATGGTCTCCTTGCTGCTAGTGTCTTTCAATACTAACACAGTTTAAACAAAACTCTACTTTCGGATTAATATCACTAAAGCACCACTCTCGTCATCCCACTCTTATGAGTAAAAACCTTTCAAAAGTAGGTTGTGACTCCAAAATAGAAAAAAGCTTGCAGCAGATGAAGAAAAAAAAAGAAATCAATTCTATCCTCACAAATATGTTAGAGTAGATATGCATATTATTAACTAAAAGAGAACAAAACATGAAGAGAATAAAGTGAAAAGGGCTTGGGACTTGGGGTTTACCCTTGATTTTTACTTCCTATTTCTTGTTAAAATGATTTTTATGCAATAAATAACGTCTCAGTGACCACTTACTACTTAAAGCTTAACCTATAAAGCTGAACCTGCACCCAAGAACCTCTGCAATCTAGCTCCCAAACCAAATAAGCCTTTCCAGCTAATTTTCCATCCCTCCTTTCACATAACCCAAAACTCCAGACAAACTAACATATCCCACATCTCATTATGTTCCTGTGTTGCCCTTTCCCAGCTACAGACCATTACCCACATCATATGCTTCAACTAGTGTGCTCTTCTCCTGTGTGTCTAAATCTTACCTAACTATCCTTTACTACTAAATTCAATAAACACTCTTTCCACAAAACTACCCCTAAAATCTCCATCTTCCAATGAGGATTTCATCTATATCTCTTGTATAAAATGTAGAACTTTCTATTTTGCACTGTAGTTGTGTGTGTCACACACACGCACAGAAGTAGCCCCCTTTAAGGCAGGGGGCTTATTTTGGCCATCTTTGTCTTCTACTCAAGGCATCACAGAGAGTCTGTCTGAATAAATGTGTCAAATGAGTGAGTGAGTACTGTCAAAAAGCAAGGGCTAGGAAGACTAAAAACCAACAGCAACTCTTATTATGATTTTCCTTCTTTTTCACTCAAGCCTGTTTCTTTTTTTTTTAAAGATTTTGTTTTTATTTCTATTTAGAGAGAGGAAGGGAAGGAGAGAAACATCAATGTGTGGTTGCCTCTTGTGTGCCCCCAAGTGGAAACTTGACCTGCAAATCAGGCATGTGCCCTGACAGGGAATCGAACCCGTAACACTTTGGTTCGCAGCCGGCACTCAATCCACTGAGCTATGCCAGCCAGGGCTCAAGTTTATTTCTTAACCTAACTTTCTTACCTGAAGATATGTTATTCTCCGCTGGACCAGTTCTGTCAGATCTTTGGCCTCTTTTTCCCTCCAATCACCTGCTCCATCTGTTTGACTGAGGTAGTATAGATCCGTCATTATTGACCTATTATAAAAGCAAACAACATTGGAGGTCTTACTTTTTTGTACTTCACCAGAGGATTACACAACCATAAGAAGAAAGTAAAATTCTTAATAAAGATTGGTGTTCACACTGAACATGAAGGATGTGAAGTTCAATTAGTCTTTAACATCCAAGATTCATTACTATTATACATTTTTACTGGTAAAAATAACCTACTTCTAGCCAGTCAACTGTACTTATTTCCCAACACAGAGCACTACAGAGACCAGGGGGAAGTGGATAGTCATGGATGGATGGATGGATGGATGGATGGATGGAAGGAAGGAAGGAAGGAAGGAAGGAAGGAAGGAAGGAAGGAAGGAAGGAAGGAAGAAATATAAGGGAAAGAAATTAAGTTGCAGCCAGGATTTGAATACTATCTTTTTGTTCTTACTACTGTCATTTCCTGTCCCCTCTTAAATTTTCTCTTTATACTTTTAACACTGAATGGCTGAAAAAGGAGATCAGAGAAAATTTTTGACATAACTCTTAAGTGATGGTCTAACCCAAGGGTCAGAAAACTTTTTTTTCTATAAAGGGCCAGGTAGTAAATGTCGTAGGCTTTATAGGCATCTTTTGCTTTTCTAGGAGGAAAGCTGCCATTGAGGATATGTAAAGTAATGGGTGTGTCTGTGTACCAATAAAACTTTCTTCACAAAAACAAGCTATGAGCCAGATTTGGCCCTTGGGCCATAATTTGACAATTCTTGACCTAAACTAATAAAATAATTATGAAGATACTTCTCATTTGCATGTAGCATGCGCAGTTTCAATTATAATATGGTTAATTTGCTACAAAGTAAACTAACAGACCCAGGACATTACATTACCAAGAGAAACTTTAGGGCTGGTGCAGATGGTTTTATTTGTAGTGCATTAAATAAAAGTCATGACTTACATTTACCATAAAAAAAGCAAGACCCTCTCTTTCTGTAACAACCCCCACCAATCTATTAGCAACCATGTAGTCAATTTCTAACCACATATCACCCACTGGCATTGCCACCAGTGAACACTGAGCCATCAACTGAGCCACAATCTTTTCTCATCTGATTTCAGCAGTAGCCTTTGAATAGGTTTTTACACCCTGCTTCCACCCTTGCCTAGCTCTATCTATTCTTAACAGTAAATTAGAACAGTGAAAACATAAAAGTGAATGTTTTTACTATGTTACATCAGTACTATGTCTTGGCAATTAATTATTCATATCCGTTCCAATCTGTCTAGGAAGTGGAATAACCAAGCTTATAACAAAAAAGCCAAACACCAAAAAGAGAAGCACATAATAGTCAACTAAAATCGAGTTTGCTTTTTAAATATGTTTTTCTTGGCCTGCCCACTGGAGGTCATATAAGGAAGACCAGACCAGAAAATGATGTTAAATTCAAACTCGTTTTTTGATGATTCAATAATGTTTAGAGGTTACCATCCTGCATAATTTATCATCTTTTGGCCAAAGACATGAGAATAATCAAATAGAAAGTTTCAGCTGTGGCCCATTATTGGGAAACATAGTGATTGAAAACCATTTTACAAAAATGCTCAGTTTTCAATGACTCCACTCTGAAATGAAATCTCCTAACAGTGTCCCAAAAGCTGGAAATCTGGCTGTCTTGGTTTTAACTAAGAAGATATCAAGAAACATAGAAGGGAGCTGGTAAATCTAAAGGCCTGGTATGAAGCCAGGTGAAAGCCTGGGAAATACAAATCCAGGCAAAGTGCCAGCAGAACAGAGTTAGTCCTGTGGGGGGCAGTGTATAGGTGCCTGAAGACGACTGGTAGAACAGAACAGAATCCAGGACTCTGACAGCAAGCCAGCAATGTCAGGCAACAAATCCTTTACTTCAAAAGCAGGGCTACATTTACGTTCCTTGTATTTTCTGTTACATTCCTGTTTTTGTATTATGATATTCATAAAACTTGTAAATGTCCTACTCTGTTCTCAACTGTGCCACTGAAGAACCACAAGAAGAGTATTTTGCTTATACCTGATTCAAAATGTTAAAGAGAGAAATTCCCTGGGGACTGGCACAGAACAGATGTAATTCAAGCAAGAAAATCCCAAAGTGAAGGAACTAATCCTTATTAAAGTAAATGTCACATGAACTGTAAACAAATGATTAGGTATATTGAGTAACAATATTTTTTATCATGCACATTCAATTAAAAGAAAGTCCATTCTCCATTGTTGAGCATCAGAATCATATTCCAAACCAGAAACAATATGTTATTTTTACGGATTTGTCTATAACTGTGTCTTAAGACTACTTTTACATACAGGGATCACTTAAGTCCTCCAAAGTGACTCAAGCATGAAGTGAAGAATACTGAGTACAAAAAGACCCGTCAATGTCAGGCTTTCTTCCAATCCCATGCTTCTTATCAGTATGATCCCCTGCATTCACTAGCTGACTTCTAACAGATACACCCTCTTTTGCAGAAACCACTGTTGAAATTAACTAGAACTTCCAGGTTTATTCAAGGTAATTGATTTTTCTTCGTTGGTCTTCACAATTTTTAGGATTCTCAATTACTGACGAATATTTTTACCTCAATAACATAATTTTCCTTAGCTGCATAATTTTCATAAATCCTTCAATGGAATAAAATTTTGTTTTTACAAAAAGGCACAAAGTAGAGTATGGAATAATCAGTGAAAGAGTGCACATACCTGCCTCCCCACCAAAGAAAAAACATAGCTTGCTGAACACTAACTAAAATAGTGAGTGCTTAGCACTGTGAGGTAGAGATGATGTTTAAACTAGAGTTTCAGGTCTCAGGAGATTACAATTTGCCAGGGAAAAAAGCCAAATTAGTACACAAGAAACAATAATATCCATTAATGAAAGCTATTCTCCTAGCAAAATGCAAGTCCTCAATTACCTCTGACTCCCCCTTCTCCCCACAACAGATGTTACCAAGTCCTGCAGCTTCTCTTTTTCACACATGCATCCCTTTCTCTCTATTCCCACTGCAACTCTCCAGATCCAGAAGCTCATTATCAAAATTCTTCTAATTTCTTGGCACCAAGTTCTCTTTCACATGGCTGTTAAAATTAGCTTTCTAAAATGTACAATAAGACTTGTATCCAGAATAAGTAAAAAATGCTTTGAGCTCAATAATAAAACAAACAATTCCCCCCAAATTAAGCATGTGATTTGATCAGACATTTTATCAAAGATGATAGATGAAAGACAAATAAATACATTAGAAGATGCTCAACATCATTAGTAAGGAAATGCACATTAAAATCACAATGACATACTGTTACACTGCTATTAGAATGGTGGTGGGTAGTGGGGGAGAATGTAAAAATTAAAAAATACCAAGTGCAGACAAAAATACAGAGCATTTGGAATACATTACTGGTGAGACTGCAAAATAGTACCATTACTTTGTACAAGAGTTTAGCACTGTCTTATAAAATTAAACACACACTCAACTTATGATCCATCAATCCCACTCCTAGATATTAATTCAAAATAAATGAAAATATATTTCTTCAAGAAACATGTGTGTTACTGTTCATAGAGGCTTTATTCATAATCACCAAAAAATGGAAAACAACCCAAATGCCTTTCAGCTGGTGAATGGATAAACTAACTGTGATATAACCATGCAATGGAATATTATTTTGCAATATAAAGGAATGCATTACCTCTACACAAAACAACATGGATGAATCTCAAATACATTATGCCATGTGAAATAAACCACACTCAAAATTCTACACAGTGTATGACTAATTGCATTTACATAAAATTCTAGAAAAGGCAAAATTATAGGGACAGGAAGCAGATCTGGTTACTGCCAGAGACTGGTGGTGACGAATGTGCTGACTACTAGGGGGCATGATGAGATTTCTTGGGGCAGGAGCAATTTTTGTATCTTGACTATGGTGGTGGCTCTAAAACTGTGAACATTTGTCAAGGCACACAGAGCTACAGACTAAGACATGCATGTGTTATCACATGTAAGCGATACTGTAATAGTTACCATATTTTTGCTGTGTATAATGTGCTCTCACATATAACATGCATCTACCTTTTTGTGCACATTATACGTGGGATTATTATACCCATGATATATAATCAATATACCCATGTATATAATGTGCAACCTTAGTTTTCCCTCAAAATTTTGGGCAAAAAAAGTGTACATTATACTGGGCAAAATACAGGTGATTCGGAAAGGAAACAAACAAAAAGAGAATAAATGCTTCTATCAGACAAAGTTCTAAGAAAGAAAGAAAGCCCTTTGGAAGAAACAAAATTCATTAATTTTTTTCCCTATAATTGATGCCTTTCTGAACCCCCCCCCCCATCACACACACACACAGAAGCTGAGTGATTCATAGGGAAATCTGAACAAGAAAAGTGATCATCTCAACCTTTGATTTCTCAGACAACACAGGCTTTCAGTCTAGAGATAACCTAACACTATAATTTGGGTACTTATAAAAATGAAATAAAGATTTTTGTGTAATGTAAAAATCCCCAAAGGCAAACATAAATGCTTGTCTTAATTCTTACACTTAAGGACCCTGAAAATTATTGGTAAGATGGCATATTGTATACACATATGTGTATACACACACACACATATTCACATGCACAAATCTCCTCTATTTGTACATTCATTAAGTGTTATTTCTCTAACGTTTAATTGTGCTTTGCTCATTATCTGTACCACTGTGTTCTAATCTGGCTGCCTGGAGTTAATTTACTACCCTGTGAGGTTGTATCCACAGTTCATTATACTTTCTTCAAAAGACAGCAAGAGAAATTGACCTTGTACCTTAGTAAGAAATGTTACTACTTAACATAAGCATATACTAAAAGGCAGTATCAGGAAACGTATTCAACTTCCAAAAAATTTAACAATGATGTACATAAACTATTCAGGACCTGGCTTTTCTCATTTGTACATCCGTACAGCATTTCTACATATAGTAACAAGTATATGCAGCAAAAATATTTTTTAAATAATTTTTTTATTTACAAAAGACCTAAAAATTAAATTCTCAAGCAATCTAATTAAATCACTCAAACTTTAAACATTCTAATATTCTATCCATTTGGTCTAATGGTCTAACTACTGCTTGATTGCAACTAGGCTAAAAATTTTAAAGGGTCTGTCAAATGTGTGGCATAACAATTCAATATCCCTTAAAATTTATACTGTCTTATTTCTGTAGATTCATTAATGTTGAAATGATTCCAATAAACTGATAGATTTTATTTGTAATTTCGCTTAAAACAGTAGAGCGATATTTCAAAAGCTCTAGCATATTGCTGATGATGTTAATATATATGAATCCATTGCTTGTAGGGTAATTCTTTTCTTCTTCACAGTGGTAGGTTGTGTTACTACAACAATTTTTCATTTACTGTTAACTAATGAGATTAGTAATTGCCATCACACTCCTACTGGGAATACAGACTTATAAATATAATAGAGCTAAGGACAGTTTCCACTGTATTTCTAATGACTCTCAGATCCATTCTGTTTCACATGAACCCACCAGCACCAAAATCCTTTCTTTTCTATGTAATATAAACTGCATACTTTCAAAAATGAACAAACAGAAGAAACAAATTTAATTAGGCAGATTTCAGTTTCTCCTTTCTAGCAACTAAATGGAAGGGTAATGAACAGAATGCTCTGTTTCATCAAGAATCTATGAATCTTTAATTAGACACTCTAAAAAAGAGGCTATTTTAAAGTTTTTAGTGTTTGAATTAGAAACATAATTGCCAGCCTCAGTATGAGTTCCAATATACTGTAACAGAAAACTACAGACTCCACTTCAAATACTAATTGTATATGAAGGGAATTTACAGGAAGATTTCCAATGTATTGTTAGCTGACACCACCACCTTCAATTTATTTAGGGTATAGGGTATAAAGATTCCTAGAAATATATTTTAAATAATATTTTCCAGGGGTATATTTTTGGTTGATGAACTGCATTTGATAATTACTGCCCTTTAAGATCTCATGTATTCTCCTACTCATGAATATGGTAGGTATCACTGACCATTCAGCAGGGAAATTACCAAAAGTTTTAGTTTCCCATTCTGAGATTATCATCTTGACTAAAATTAAAAAAGTACCTGTACCTTTCATGATGTCCCAAATCTGACAGAAATTCATCTGCATGTCTTTGGAGTTCACTCCCTTCTAAATTCTTTAATTTCTTCAGTTCACTTTGTAGAAAAAACCAAAGTTCTTTAGCTCCATTTTCAATCCTCCTCCTTAGGATTTCATGATCCTTTCCTAAACCTGCAGACAAAGAATAGGGAGTATCAGCATTTTCAATATTCTAATGAAAGAAAATTCTCAACTATTTATGCTAATATCAGTATGTCGTAGAGAAAAATATTCTAAAGCATCTACCATTTCTCGTTTGTTTCTTATAATTTTCAATTTGTTCTTTGGCCTTCACAAGTTGCTCTTCTAAAGCACGAATCCTTCCAGAAGCTGGCCCCTGATCAATGGGGCCTTCTGGTATCCTGTAGTTCAGAAAAGAAAATGTAAACATTTAGCTTATAAAATATTCAACAATACATGCATACTAAAGTTACATACTAAAACATATTTATAGATAACTCTAGAAGTCACTGAACCATATATCAGAAATGCCAAATAAAATTTTCCCTCCAAAGATATATGATAAAATGTAAACACTGGAACAGAAACAGAAAAAATAATCTAGATCAGAGATCAATGATATTGTAGGAATCAGGGAACCTTTAGAACTCTCTCCTACAAGCTCTCATCATATTGCTTAGAAAAACTTTGGCATCAGTGACAAAGTGGCCAATCCTTCATTAGTGTTGAGAATAAGAAAGGTGAAGAAGAGGATAATAAAAAGGCTTAAAGAAAATAAGAAAGCACATATTTGAACATGTACCTATGTTCAAATATGAAATATAAATTATTTCTAAATATATTATCAACCAGGAAATTAATCAGGCTATGTAACCCATGCTCCAACTTAGGAACTCATGACTTTATATTACTAAGCACTGGTTTCATAGGGTAAGATGAGTAGAAGGTGAAGTACATCAGGAAAAATCTGAAGATTAATGCCCTGTTGTTTCTACTGAAACAAACGAAAAAATCAGTCAACAATATAAAATGTTGGAAGTTCACAGAAAAACTCCAAGACCTCTTATATTATCAATCTATCTGTAAAACTTCTTTCCAAACTGTACTGGTTTCTAACATGTTTTGTTTTTGTGTGACTTTGGCAGGACCCTGTACTTTGTTTTGTCATAAAAGATATCTACACCCTAATCCTGGAATCTGTCTATGTTTCCTCACATGATAAAATAAACTTTAAATGTGTAATTAAGTTAAGGATCTTCAGGTCCAGCTACGACAAAATTGTAATCACAAGTGTTCTTATAAGAGGGAGACCTTACAACAAAAGAAAAGTCAGTGTGGCTAATAGCTTTGAAAATGGAGGAATGAGCCATGAGCAACAAATGCAAGGAATGCACCTTTAAAAAAGGCAAGGAAACAGATTCTCCCCTAGACCTTCCCCAGGGAATGTGGCCCTGCCAACAGGTTGGTTTTGTCCCAGTGAAACTCATTTAAGATTTCTGGTCTCCCAAAATGTAAGAGAATACATTTCTATTGTTTTAAGCCACAAAGTCTATGCTATCTGTTACAGAAGCAATAAGAAACTAATACAAACCCACACATACATACATGATCTATATATACATATATACTTTTGCAAAATTATTGTTTAAATATTTTTTCTTCTAAAATCTATTTAAATGAGAAAAATGTTTATAGCAGTACTTGGCACAGAGTAAACAAGATATTCTATAATTTTCCATGGAATTGTATATATTAACATTGAACAGAAGCATGAAAAATAACTATGCCCCAATCATGAGTCCCAGGCCACAGAACTTAAATTTAAAAGTCTTCATTTTTATATATACAAAGTGAATAATGATAAAATGAATAGAGTTGTTAGGTGTATAATTACCCAATTTATGAGCATAAATGTGTATACATTCATAAATGAGGCATTTCTTGGTATATAGATTTTAAAACTCGGCTCTTTATCTCTTCCTGAATTAAATGACTGGTTTCTAGGAAATAACTTGAAAACAGAATAAAACTGCTACCTCTTGAAATTTATTTTGATAGCAAAATGCCACAGGACAAGGATGCCCTTTTCCAGAACATACATTAGTGGTACAAAATTTCAGGCAATAGAAAGGTATGTCTAAGTTCTCCTCTTTATCTCATTTCTTTGTATTGGTAGAATAACATTAGGGGAAAACAAGCATGAAAAATAGCATAAAATCTTTTCAGCAGAGTTCCATTAAGTACTAAATATAACCTAATTCTAATAAAACATAAATGTATTTGTGATTTATATTACATTATTATATACAATAATCTAGTCCAACTGTGGATAAACTGTAGATAAAGAAAAGTATTGGAAAAGTCAATGTAAAAAACACTTATACAATAGGGCCATTCTTTCCAAACCATAATTAGAAGAGTCAATCTGCAAAAATAGTTTCTTTATTTAAATATTTAGGGAATTAATTTTTTATATCATATTCGCTATGAAAACAATATGTAGAACATCTTCTGGCTAAGATGCAATAACAGAGATAAGACTTACCATTATGCTTGAAACAACTGAATATGGAGACACCACGTATGAAAAAATGGTTTAATAAAACTGGAACCAGAACACTGATGTCAGACAGACAGCAAAACAGATAGTTCCCTCTCAGGGAAAGGGCACGAGCCACTATCCATTGACAAGATACCTTTGTAAAGATCACAGAACACAGGGGTAAGGCTGAAGCAACACCCTGGACTATGAAAGCAGAGAAAAACTGCATTAGGAAGGTCAAGAGGAGCACTTTCACTTTGCCCATATCGCCCCTCCCCCAGGTCAGCACAGTGCTGTGCTGAGGCGGTCCTCCTGGGCCTACAATTTCTCCAATGGGAAAAGGACAGCACAAGGTGGACATCAAGCTTCCCTACCACTCTGGATGAATCATGGGAGGCCCATTTAAGTATGCTTCATGAGGATTACTGAAAAAGTCAGCTAGAGATAGAGAAGGCAGGAGAGGCTCACAACAAGTGCATGGATCTTGACAGACTGTGTTCCTGTCAAGTGGTGGTGTCTGAGAAGAGATTCAAATCAGTGGCTGTGATATTTGCATAGCTGAGCCAGTGGCCCCAGCTGGACAGGGAATTTGACTGACAGTTTTGCCTGGTTTGAGTCAGCAGCCAGAGAGCTGTCTTGGTGATGGAGGAGCTCATTCTAGAGCCCCTCCTAGACAGGGAAGCAAGTCAGCAGGGCCTACACAATGCAATTGCTGAGCATAGCCTTCAGCCCCACTAGAGAAGGAAGCCTGGCCTGAGATGAAACGCAACCATGAAGCACAAGCTACAGCTCATCATGTAGGGAAGCAAGTCACTGCCCACACCCAATTGCTGAGCATAGCCTCCTGCCCCACTAAACAGGGAAGCCTGGGCAAAGATGCTAAGCAGCTTCAGGATACATTCTATAGCCTCCAAGAGCAGAAAGTAAGGCAACGGCCCCACCCAACATCTAAGCATAGCCTTCAGCCCAACCTGGCCAGGAAATCCGGCCAAGGATTCTAGGTAGCCACAAAGCTAATTCCTGAAGAGCATAAAACAACTGTAAGTATATATGTACCACTCATCAGAGAATCTAAATATATTAAGCAAATACCATCAGATCTGAAGGGAGAAATAAATAACAATACAATAATAGTAGTGAATTTCAGTACTACTGGGGGATCCCCCACTTTTACCAAGAATCGATCATCCAAAAAGAAAATCACTAAAAAAACACTGGACTTAAACTATACTTTGGACTAAACGGACCTCAAAGACATATACAGTTACATACCATTTAATGAGGACATGTTCTGAGAAATGTGTCATTAGGCAATTTTATCATGTGCCAACATGATAGAGTACATACGTAACGCAAATCTGTAAAGTCTGCTACACATGGAGGCTATGTGATAAAGCCTATTGCTCCTATCCTACAAGCCTGTACAGTGTGTTACTGTACAAAAGCAATGTGAGATTAAATCAAGAACAAAAGAAAATGATGCAATCAAGAGATACAGTGAACAGGAAATGTATAAGGCTGCTGCTGGCATAATAGCATACTGTGTTACAGAAAACTTTTTTTCTCTTTATGAATGGAAAAGACACACTCTGAAACAACCATAAAAATATAGCCTAGTAAAATACATAAACCAGTAAGAGTCATTTATTACCATTATTCATTCTTATGTATTATAGATAACTGTATGTGCTATCCTTTTATATGACTACCAGTACAGTAAGTTTGTTTATATCCATACCACCACAAACAAGGGAGCAATGTGTTCGCTTATGACATTAGCATGGCTCTGCCATCAGTAGGTGATAGGAATTTTTCAGTTCCATTATCATCTTATGGGACCATTACCATACATGCAGCCTGTTGCTGACTGAAATGTTGTTACGCAGTACATGACTGTACAGAACATTCTATCTGAATGACTAAAATAGTAATAGGAATTTCTAAGCAGTTAAGTTTATAAGCAAGTCACAGATGGAGACCAAGATGATAGAAAATATCTAGTTCATTATCTAGCTTATATAAAGAACTCCTTCAAATCTATAAGAAAAAGACAATCTAATAGAAAGTGTGCAAAGTATATGATCTAGTAATTCATAGATGAGGACTTTATTGATTAATAATCATGAGAAGTGGTCATTTTTTAAATTTTAGTAACTGGGATATTCAAATTTAAAGAGCTACCATTTCTCAACTATTAGCCTAACAATTAAAAAGTGTGATGTTGAGTGTTGGTGAGGATATAGAGGAACTGGAACTCTCATATATTATATTAGTTTGCTAGGGTTACCCTAACAACATACCATAGAGTGGATAGCTTATACAACAGAAATTTTTTCCCCACTGTTACAAAGGCTAAAGGTCCAAAATCAAGGTGTTGGAAGGTTGGATTTCTTCTGAAGCCCCTCTCTCTGGCTTACAGAGATGGTTACCTTCTCCTGTGTGCTTACCAGGTCTTTTCTCTGTGTCAGCAATTCCATGATGTCTATTTTGTGTGTCCAAATTCCCTCTTCTAAGGACACCAGTCAGGCTTAGGGCTTTCCCCAGTGGCCTCATTTTAACTTAATCAGCTCTTTAAAAGCCCTACTCCAAATACAATTGCAGTTTGAACACCTGGGGGTGAGGACTTCAACATATAAATGGAAAGGGGGTGTACACAATTCAACCCACAGTGTATACCAAAGGCAGAAATATAAAATTTAAACAATCCACTTACAAAACATTGTGAAATCACTCCAAAATTTAAGATGCATGTATATTAAGACTCAGCATGTGTCCTAGGTTATCACCCTAAAGAAACTTTAGCACATGTACACAAGGAGACACTAGGTATTCATCAATAGAGGAATGGATCTATACAGC